AACAAAAGCATTCAAATGCAATCAATGACACATACATCATCATCGTATCTCGTGCGCCACTGATAAGGCTGCCTGACGCCTGATGCAGACCTTAAATTCGAATGCAACATTTTTGCATTCAAATGTGGATTTTTTTTTAAATTCGACGAATATTCGAAATTAAAAAAAATTTTTTTGACAGCCCTACTGTCAGTCAAGACATGGGAAACAAAGTAACTAGCATTACTTATTTGAAAAAGTAACTCAGATATTTCCTTCTAAATTAAAAAGTAATGCGTTACTTTACTAGTTACTTTAAAAAAGTAATCTGATTATGTAACACGTTACTTTCAGTGTTGGGCAGTAACGCATTACTTAGTAATATGTTACTGTAATTTGATAACTTTTTTAGTAACTGAGTAATTTAATGCTTTATAATTTTCAAAATAGTAATTAGAGTATAGTTACAAGCCGAGGTCTCTATATGTTACTGCCGTATAGAGAAGAGAGAATAAGAAACGTATTTATAATCCCAAACTTAGTATGCACCACGTACAGTACACTAGAGTGTGCAGGGTCTCAAAGCTAGGAGACAGACTTCAAGCTGCTGTGTATTTCCAGACAAACACACGTCCAAATCTAAACAGTAAAATAATGCTTACTCAGACATTGCATATAAAATTAATTACATTAGCATACAAATCTGCTTTCATAACAATATAAATTAATAAGTTATAATATTCTATTATTAAAATAATAAATGTTATTATTAAAATTATGAAACTTAATCATAACTTAATAATATATATTTATAAATATAAGTTGAATTAGCAGCTTAAATTGTTTTCATGAGGTATGCAAGTCAAAACCACATCCCCACCTAAAAATAAAATAGATTAATTTAATTAGTAAATTCATGTTAATTCGTTATTATTCATGTTAAACTTAATAAATTAATAATATAATAAATTATAATTACCAAATGAAATTAAATTAGCAGAGTAATTTGTTTTCAATTAGTATTTCAATCAAAACCATATCCGCACCTAAGAAATATTAATATCGCATGCGATTTATCGTGCAGCCCTAATATATATATACTATAAAATTAAAAGACATTCCTTTTAAATGCATAGCACAGTAATGAAGGCAGCAACATATGATAGAACAGAACAAAAAAGACTATTAATAATCTATCATTGCTCAAAAGTATAATAGGAAAGGGTATAGCTCCAATACAGAGCGGCACAAAGCGCTTATGCGCATCCCGTGCGCAGAATGATGCGCTTGACACAAAGCGCTTATGCGCATCCCGCGTGCAGAATGATGCGCTTGAAGCAACGCGGAGTCACAGCGCGCAGCGCACCGCATAAAACAGGGAAGAGATATCATGCGTAGTGTATTATATCTGTGCGATATTTTATTGAGCCTTTTCTTTTAACGGTTTTAAATCTCAGTTACTGTGCACTCTTGAAGAGAGTTTCATTGTTTTGACTGTAGTAAACCGAACACGACATGCAGTTTGAACGCTGAATGGAGGATGACAGACAGATGCAACGGGGAGAAGACTTTACGTGAACTTGACTTAAATATTAATCTCTACTTCACATTAAACTATGGAACGGCTTCAGAACACTTAAAATATAGTGCACGGAAACTTTATGGTGCTTTATAATGTTTTTGTGCCTTTCGTGGGCCTTAAAGAGCAGGTCATATGGTATTTTAAAGTGTCCTAATATTGTGTTGGAGTCCCCTACAACAGGTTTAAATGCATCTAAGGTCAGAGAACATTTTAATTTCTCAGAATATACATTTAATATTAGAATCATTTTTCAATGATTTCCGAAACGATTCGTTCAAAGCAGTTCTGAGCTTAAGGTCTGTAAACTCCTCCCTTCCATAAGCCTGCTCTGCTCTGATTGGTCAGCTGGCCAAGCCTGCTGTGATTGGCACAGAGAGGAGTCCTTGAGCAAGTTAGCGAGCGCTACCATTGACAAAGCACCTTTACATAAAACAATAATATAGTGCTCCGATTCGTTCTTATAATAATGACATAAAATACAAAAACACTTATGCAAGCGAATCGTGCCCACAGCTAAAGTTTAGCTGCTAAACGGTGTACACTTAAAACAATAATGGTGGATACGTTAGCCGAGTGCTAACGTGACTAACTGATGAAACAATACAGTTTGTAAACCAAAATATGTCTACTGTAATGTTTGAAGAACGACAGACAAGAGACGCTCTGTCTTAACTTTTAATCAGAACGCAGAACAGCTGTATCACAGGCGCACCAGCCTAACTAACTCGCTCGTCCCTCCCTAACCATTAACCCTATAACTGCCGGTGCAGCAAAATCACAATGATTATAAAGTCTGTGTGCTACACTACATTCTTTATTATTAAACAAAGTTATTAGAACAACATCAATCTACATTAATCGACACATTCTTAGGAAATAGTGGGTTCACAGTGGGTTAATATCGTGCTTTACCTGGAAAACTAAAGCTGCACTAGGTATACATCACATATTGGCACAAAAAAATTATATTTTGAGTACTCAATTGAAAATGTACACATAACGTATCAATCGTACTTACAGGTTGTGGTTTGGAGAGCTTGTTAGTCCAAATTAAGAAGATTAGAAGCCAACGAAGATAAAAGCCAAGATTAGAGAAGCAGTCCTCGGTAAAATGACAAGCACACAACAAAAGGTTCGAATTGTATCTCTGTGGTATCCTTGAACACAGTGTCTTCGTGACATGATGTAAACACACTAACTAGCGGAAGTGTTTGTGGGCAGGTCAGACTCTGTTTGTATTTTGCGGGCAGGCGGGGATTATGCAAATGCGTTACCCAGTGACGTATACCCGTAACAGGCAAAAGATTTGAAAATATGACGACTCGTTAAGGCGATTCAGAATCGACTCTCTCTTTTGAGAGACAATATCTTTATTTATCCTGCACTTTTTTTGTTTGTTTTTGTTTGATTAACAACTTTGCAGATTGTTTTCATTTAAGGATAGCTACGTTATAAACTGCAAAAGAGATGCTTTTCAAAAACCCATATGACCTGCTCTTTAACAATAACACAGAGTAGTATACACACAATATCGGATTTGGATCGGTCTCATCTGACCGATACCCGATCCGGCCGAAAATGGCAGTATCGGAGCCGATACCGATACTGAGTATCAGATCGATGCATCCCTATTCCAAACAAAAGGAAATATATTGGTATCGGCATTGGCTATTGGCCAAAATGAGATGAAAAATATTGGCATATCGGATATCGGCAAAAATCCAATATCGCGCATCCCTACTTCTTACCAATGTATTTTAATTGTGTAGGGTTATTAAAAGCAAATATTAAGAAATATCATCTCCAGACATCAATTTGGGCAATTACTGCATCTGTCGAGTGCTTGAATAGAAAAAAGAAATAAAACTTCCATCCCTAATGCAAATAAATTACATTTTAAACTAACTGGCTCCACTTCTTCATACCATTTTTTGACTTCATATCTTCATACAGCTCCAGTTTGCTGAGCATTTCCTCTCTCTCCTCTTGCAATTCAGTAACGCGACTATGTAGGGTCGTGACATCAGGGGACATGTCGAGACATACTCCAGACTAAAGTCAAAAACAGAATGCAGTTAATTTAATTTAGCTGGATATTCATCTGTGCAAATCTAATGAAAAATAATATACTTTCTTACCTTAACTTTTTTGAGTTCCTCCTCGAGCTGCCTGATCCTAGATTTGGACCATGCTTTCATTTTTAAGAACTTTGCTTCTGCTTTACTGGTCTCTGCTTCTTTCAGCTTCACTTGGGCTGAATTGGACAGAACAAAACAGACTGAAATATTAAAACAAAGCCACTGAGAAGGAAGGACACTGAGAGTTTAAAATATTTTTAACTGAAAATAATAAACACCCTTTTACTATCATGTAGGCACATTATAAGAAGGTGTCTGCTACATTTGTAAAACATGACATATGTGACCCTGGACCACAAAACCAGTCTTAAGTAGCACGGGTATATTTGTAGCAATAGCCAAAAATACATTGTATGGGTAAAAATTACCGATTTTTTTTTATGCCAAACATCATTAGGATATTAAGTAAAGACCATGTTCCATGAAGATATTTTGTAAATTACCTACCGTAAATATGTTTTAAAAAAAATAAGAATTTTTGATTACTAATATGCATTGCTAAGGACTTCATTTGGACAACTTTAAAGGCGATTTTCTCAATATTTGATTTTTTTTTTTTTTGGCACCCTCAGATTCCAGATTTTCAAATAGTTGTATCTCGGCCAAATATTGTCTTATCATAACAAACCATACATCAATGGAAAGTTTATTTATTCAGCTTAATTTAAATAAATTTGCCCTTATGACTGGTAAGATAGACTTCATTCACATCAAGAACTAGGCTCTACAAGGCTATGAGATCACAACACAACACAATTTAGTGCAAATTCTAAAATGTTTGTATTGAATTGTACCTAGCAATTCATTATATTATTAAGTATATTATTTTAAGACACCTAATATAAAGTGGGACCTTTTTTTTTTTCTTTTTTTTTTTTAACAACGGACCTCTTTTTTTTTTTTTTTTTTAACAACGGACCTCTTTTTTTTTTTTTCTTTTAATCATCATGAACATACTGGGCTGCGTTTCCCAAAAGCATTCTAAGCTTAAGTTGATCGTAGAACTATTGTCACCAATGGAGCTACGATCATCTTAGGCTTAAAGGTCCCATGGCATGAAAATTTCACTTTATGAGGTTTTTTAACATTAATATGAGTTCCCCTAGCCTGCCTATGGTCCCCCAGTGGCTAGAAATGGCGATAGGTGTAAACCGAGCCCTGGGTATCCTGCTTTGCCTTTGAGAAAATGAAAGCTCAGATGGCCCAATCTGGAATCTTCCCTTTATGTCGTCATACGGGGAAAGGTTACCTCCCCTTTCTCTGCTTTGCCCGCCCAGAGAATTTGGCCCGCCCATGAGAAAATGAGCTACTACCGTGCGAGGCGAGCGCAATATTTTTTTTTCCTCGAGAGACATCATGGCTTGCAAACGAGCGAAGCATGGCAGTTGCCCCGCCTCTCTCCTCCTCATTAGCATTTAAAGCTACAGACACAGAAATGGCACGTCCTAAGGAAAGCTCATTGTGGGACTGGCTCGTAGTGGCTGAAATTCTGCATCCACAGATCGGGTATCGGTCAGATGAGACCGATCCAAATCCGATATTGTGTGTATACTACTCTGTGTTATTGTTAAAGAGCAGGTCATATGGGTTTTTGAAAAGCATCTCTTTTGCAGTTTATAACGTAGCTATCCTTAAATGAAAACAATCTGCAAAGTTGTTAATCAAACAAAAATAATTATCACACCACAGAAAAATGTGTTATTAACCACCCATCCAAATTTGAATGCTAAAAAAATCGGCAAGTGAATAAAATAAGCAGTATTCTCTGCTCTCAGACGCTGGGGGAGTGTCCGCCGGCGGTGCTGAAACCACGCCCACTCACGGAAAAGCTGCCATCTCTCTCTCAAACTGTCTTCCTCTGCAGCTTATTTAAATGAGGAGACCGAGCTGTTTTGTAAATTACTGCAACCAGGTATTATGCATTTATGTGACGAAGGCATAGCTAGCTAGCAACCTCTAGGCTGTAGTAACGAACGGCAGTAACTCACGTTTGATCGGGCAAACCACTGCACTGTAATTATTAGGTGTGTTCGCCTTGAATAGTTATTAGGTGTGTTCGACTTGAAGCAGGGCTGTGCAGAACGACCAGTGTATGACACGAGAGCGATTCGAAAGCATGAGGAGCGGTCTGCTCTCTATAGCTCTGTACTTTGATGTCACACACCGAACGATCTGCGCAGTGCTGCTTCAAGTTGAACACACGTCTTATAGTGTTAGGGGAGGGGCCATGCTCGGTGGCTCCATTGCGTCATCGAGCCACCATTTTAGCCCCGCCCAAAAAATTCTGAAGAATTGGTGAAAAACTGTTTAACGGTTTAACGCCACAATTCAGTACTACATAGTTCAGAGTCTTTGTAATGTGTTTCTGCAATACATTTCTAACATTTATAATGTATTAGAAACAATTCTCAGAATTCTCTTTACACGGACTTTAAGCATGTGACATGATTGTCTACCTTGCAGCTCTGTGACTCTCTGAGCTGTGATGCAGGTGGATTGGTTTGCTGATGCATCTGCGGGCTGTGATATAGAGCGCTGAAGAGTCTCAAGCTGTCTGCGTAAGGCCTGCTCCTTCTCTGACAACTCAGCCTCATGTTTATCAGCAGCACTGAGCAGCTCTGCTTCATGTTTCTCCAGCAGATCCTTGATCCGAGCCCGAGTAATGTGACGTTCTGCCTCCAGCTTTGACTGAAAGTTTTCTTTCTCACCCCGCAAGCGCTGCATTTGTTCCGTCAGCTCCTACCAAACAAACACACACAACTCACTTCATAAATCAACTCTGTGAACTGTAAGCAATAGGGACTGACTATATATTGTAATTATTTCCTTATGTGTGCACAAACATACAGACACCAATCACAAAGGAAGCTACATACTATAATAAGAACCAAGGAAATGGAAACATTTGAAGATCATTCATGTGAATTCAGTTATGATTCTTTCATTATAATTCCATGTATTAAGGAGTATACATTTCGTTATTCTCATTATTACTTCTCTTTTTTTTCCTGTTTCTTTCTGTTCCAATGTTGTTTTTATTTTCTCACCCCGTAAACATTTTAATTTAAAAAATATATAAGTAAATCATAAAAACGCTGTGTGAATCAGCTTAATGGACAGTACAAAAAAACTAGATGCAATTTTTATGATTATGATTTGCTTTTCAATAACAACACTTGTTCAATCTGTGCAAATAACGGTCTAACGTAAAACTGCATTGGTAAATGGCTGATATTTAAATTACTTTATGTACGTTAAGAGGATATAATTTTTAAGTAGTGCCACGTCATGTGTCACATGACATCTGATCCCTGAACAAAGCACAATGTGCAATACTGTCAGCATGCAGAAGGCAGACTTGTAAAAGTGCAATATAAGTTAAAGTCCAAGAACATGGAAAGAAATAGAAATTACACAAAAGTTTGGAAGTAAGCCAAGTTTAATTGCATTTCCAAGATAAATGTTTTATATCCTGCTATGCACTTTGAGAGGGCTGGACAAAGCCTCTCTCTCTAGTCTAATGTCTTCTCCCCACATTCCAAAGCAAATTTGTAAAAGATCGGAAAATGAATTTTATGTTCTTCACAATCACAAAATTATGATGGTGTGCAGTGAAAATAAACTTGATGTGCCTTACCTTACTTAACAAGTACACATAGTTTTAAAATTGAATGTGAGGTCAGATAAAGACAGAAACTCATAAGACAAGACTATCTGTATGAATGCACTATCCACCTTTTTCCTGAGTAACCAATGATGGATTCCAACTTACGCTTGGGTGCTCTCGTGTTCCGGTCTCCATAGAAATCCATGTTAAAATGGGGTAAAAAAAGATTGACTGAACTGAAACTTTTTAAATTTAACTGAATATAAAAATATGCACAGGGTTAAGCTGTGCTGTTGTTGGCTGCCACAGTAATGGCAAGAAGCTTAAGGAATTCCTGTACTTGTTTTGCGTAACTTACCACCAGCAAATCTGACCGTGTCCGGCGCTGTTTGCATGGCTTGCAGTGCTTAAGTTACTGTGTGTGAAATAATAAAATAATGTGTGCTCTTATCATTTTGTGGACAAAATCCCACAAACTTCGCCCCGATTGAGCTGTATGTAGGATATGCGTTTTCAACGCAGCTAACCGTGGGTCGCTTCATGTCATCTATGCACTCATTAAACTATGACAGACGAGTTACTGCAAAAAGACGGTCATTGTGACACTTTAAAGTGATGAAACTATGGAGCCATGTGCTTTTTAAAACCATTTTCATAGGTTTAACATTATATTACCGGCCCTGAAAATATGTTAATTTGACTAGAAACACCAGAGAAATGTAAAGCACTGTTCCAGTTAGGTGAGATTTCCGCGTTCAGAAAAAGGTGGATATGACCAGTAATATCTAATTTGCAAAAAATTACAATGTATAAATATAAAAATGTGATTGAGAATTTGGGAAGAGAAAATACATGAATACATGCTTGCCATAAATACTGATATAATAAAGTCACTGTATGTTTGAATGCATGTTAACATTGTAATGCATTTTTAATAAACTAAATGTAAAAAAAAGAGAGAAAAAAGCGTCATTGGCCATTTAAGCATATCTGTAAACTGTAAAATACCTTGGCTTGGTCATCTTTACTGCTGAGTGCTGCATCCTTTTCCCTGATCAACTCTTTTAAATGGGCCACAAGTTCCTCCATCTGCGTTAGCTGCTCAGTGACCTCAGCAAATCTCATTTCGCTGCCCATGTCCACCTGCGGGGAGCCAGGAGCCTGAGAAAAGCAAAGGATCTATTAATGCTGATGGACATTTATGAATTGCACTATGTAAAGGGGTGAGGGTTCTCGTATTACCCTGAAGAGTTTTATTTTGCTATAACCGAGTGACTTGCTTACCACACAGCTGCACACAAAATAAATATGCTGACATATTTGCAATTATTTAAAATTAAAAGACACTCTTCACTCCTAGACATTCCCACACTAAACATATAAGGCTGATTTCTGATCATATGCATCACAGAAAAACAATCATCGTTATGAGATATTTAAACAAAAGCATGTGTAATACTTACTCCATGCGCAGAGCCGGACTCATCTGCTGAAAACCACCTTAGCATTTTTTACACAACCTATGGCCTAAGACAGGAGATCTTAGACAATAGGTTTTAAATAAAATAAAGCAAGACTACACAAAACGCAGTCATCCTACTGGATGGTTCTTCAAGTCTGGTCCTGGAGGTCCACTGCCCTGTATTAAAATGGCAATAAGTGTAAATGTTTATATTTTAAATAAATAAATTGTAAACAAATGTATAAATGTTAAAAAAAATCTATCTATAATATCTAAAATAAGTATAATAATTTTATTATAGAGCATCATCTGATTCGAAGATTTCTGTATTCAGTCAGCAGAGAATGATTATAAATTAATATCTAAACAAACAACGTTAACCGTCATCAATGATCACAATCTAGTCAAACAATGAAGAAAAAACATTCTTGACGGAACAATTCGCACATCATACCGTGGCAGAAATCTAATTAAAACTGAAAGCGAGCCGTGCAGTTAACGTTAACCTTAATAAGAATATTTAAAAATGAAATGTCAGTTAACATAATCTTACCTGCCTCCAATAACATGGACATCTATCGCTTCACAATTCCAATACAGTGCATTTCCAAGACGAAATGTTCACTTGTACATAACACATATCATGTATTGAACGGAAGCAAACCTATATAACCTTATTGTCTATTAGGTTTACCAATGTGATAAACACTCAACTCTCGTTAATACGCAAGGTTCTTCTTCTTCTTTAATGGCCGTTCGCTGTTTTGGAGCATCACCGCCACCTACTGTACATTGCCACGATGACGTTTCTTCTTCTTCTTCTTCTTCTTCTTCTTCTTCTTCTTCTTCTTCTTCTTCTTCTTCTTCTTCTTCTTCTTCTTCTTCTTCTTCTTCTTCTTCTTCTTCTTCTTCTTCTTCTTCTTCTTCTTCTTCTTCTTCTTCTTCTTCTTCTTCTTCTTCTTCTTCTTCTTCTTCTTCTTCTTCTTCTTCTTCTTCTTCTTCTTCTTCTTCTTCTTCTTCTTCTTCTTCTTCTTCTTCTTCTTCTTCTTCTTAGTTCTTTGATCTTTAACGCATTCTCTTGTTGCTTTCTATTTACACAAAAAATGAGGACGCGATTGTTTGATAAGTACCTTGCAGAGTTAACATTGCCTAGTACTTTCTTTATTATTTTCGTAAATTTCATTGGATTGTTGATGTTTTCGATTTTTCCGGAAAATGCTACTATTACTTTATATTCCACCTCCATTTTCCTGGTTTTGTTATTTCCTCCTATCTCTGTGATATTGTCATCCGACTCAGATTCTCTATTTTTTCATTTGTTTGATGCATCTGGTACCTGAGACCATCCCTCACTATCAATTATTGAAGAATCATCTTCATCATCCATACTACCTGCATCCATCCTCTCCAGTCTCAGCACAGTTGATGCTAACCCGCCAAAAAAATGGATTCCGTGTGCGACGCTGTATCAAACTGATCCTCGCACGATGACGTTTATGTCCGATTGCATGTTTTGCCTTTCTGGTCTCATTAAAAATAATTGTAAAAGTTATTCACACAGTGCGAACCACAAACCAGATGAAATATAAGACAGGGTTAGACAGGAGCTCATGTTGAACCATGGAGAGGAAGTGTGTTTTTTTTTTTTTTAGTGCCTATGATTCTTTCCAATAAATATTTTATTAAATATTTTAAAACACCTCTGTATTTTTTCTGTTTCTGTTATTCTGCAATTCTATATATTTCTGTTCTTCTGTTAAAGAACAAAACAGTTCTAAATTCCTGCAGAATTTAACCAATCAAATGATGACTTTGAAACTCCCAAAGTGTTTCTCATTTTGTGTCTTATGCTGAGATTATCCTGAAACTACACACCCTTAGGATGCAAGAAATAAAAAAAATGAGGAAGCAGGAATCCAAGGAAATTCATTTGTATATTTGAATATTCTTGATCACCCAAGCATCACTTCAAAGGGTCATCAGCTGCGCTATAGGGATTTGCCCTTATGTTGTAGAAGTTTGGTTATTTAAGAAATTAATAAATAAAAAATGAATAAAGCAAGATGCCCTGCTGAAATATGCTAAATCTATGGTTTATTTAAACAGCAAAGATAAAACATAAATCAAAAATATTGTGACAGATGTGAAGGGGAGGATAATCTAAACATGCATCAGGTTTTTTAGTTTTTTTGACAAGAATTTACTTCCGTAAAAAAAAGTTAATAGGCCTATATCAAAAAGGTAATATATTCTAAAGTAATGGGCATAACTTTTGATAGTAGGTTTTCTTTCTGTTTTATGTAGCCAACAGGAAGAAGATTGCGACTGGAGTGGTCTCCATGGTCGTGACAGGAGTAGACTGCTCAGACCTGACATGAGTGACTGTGACAGGGAGAGCGGTCTCCTCAAGACTGGAATCCATGGTCATAGCAGGAAGGCCAGGCTGAAGGTTGGACATCACCACCAACTTCATTGACTCTGGTAAAATGTAGGTGTAGCCTATTAATAGCTACCAACCTGCCATCTCTCTTATTGTGGCGATGTTGTGTGGTTTAGTGGGAAGCACTGGCCTAGCTGATCCTTGGATGCCGATTAAATGCACCATCAACCAAGACCTGACTGGGTATATCTGCTGTTTTACCTCAGTTTGTAGAATGCATTCTTGTTTTACACAAATCATATCGACCAGCACTGGACATACCACATACTCTATCCATTTGTTGCATTTTTCCTTGCAAGGTTCCACAAGATGCACAAGCTGATGAGTTTGTTCATTGCTCTTCTTTAAAAAAAAGTTATTGATCACAGTGAAGGAGTTCTAAAACATGGTGGTGGAAGCCCCGAATGTGACAGTGCATATTTTTCATGTTACATGGAAAATACTGGACATATATTAAGTAGGCTATTTTGTGTTGTTAATAAATAATTTTTTTTAGTATTCATCTTCTGCTGAAACTCCTCCATCTTGATTCTGGAGTTATATATTGCTTTGCGATGATGCGCTCCGTTTCCACAATGGTATAATTTCTTAAATCTATAACGGGCTTTATAGAGTTTACATGTAAAAAAAAAAAAGTTTCACTTTCAAGTGCTGTGGCCAACATTGAACCTTCATTGAAACAATTTTTCAACAAAAACGTGGTTCAAAGAACTGAAGTATAGCAAAGACTACAGAAATACAAAGACAGTTCACTCCTATAATTTTGAATGGGAGAAACGGCAATGCGCAATATGGCGGAATAGTCCCGACTTCTAAGTGAAAGAGCCAATTGCCGATTGGTAAAGTCCTTGCGTCACTGCAGCGGCCGTTAGAAGCTCTGGCTCCCATAGAAACCTGAGGCTTGACCAGCCAATGCGCATGCGCAGTCATAAGCGTGTTATAACTGCACATGCGCATTGGCTGGTCTAGCCTGAAAAAGCATAAGAAATACCTTATAAGGTATTTATTTATTTGTTGGCTAAGGGTCCACTCAGAATTATTTTTCACTGCGATGCATTTGACAGCTGAAGATACAATTTCATGCCAGTTATAGGGGTTGTATTCTCTTCTTGCAGCATGTTGTTGGTAGGATTGAGCAACATAAATAAACTAACACAGTATAAGGCATTTTAATCATAGTTAGCATTAATTCAAAGTTTTCTGTCGTTTCCAAATAGTAATACATTGAAGGATAATCAAAATGCTGTTTGTCATTTTGACAGATTTAAAGGGGTCATGAACTGAGAAACCAAAATTCCCTTGATATTTGGACATATAAGAGGTCATTTTACTATAAAAACATCCTGTATGTTTCATAACTCAAAACTTTCTTGTTAGTAGCTTATATTGAAGACAGTCTGCCAAAACAACAGCTTGTGGAATGTAGGCAACCACTCTATTAACCACTCTGAAAGCTACGACTTGTACTACCTGACCACCTCAATTCTCCAAGTAGAACGTCACATGTTATCATCTCGAAATCACAGTAATTACGATATGGCGTGAATGCAGCATAACTGTTCTCACAGTTGGGGCAGTCGTGACCTAATGGTTAAAGAGTCTGACTTGTAACCCGAAGGCTGTGGGTTTGAGTCTCATGTCCGGCAGGAATTGTTCGTGGGGGAAGTGAATAACTAGCGCTCCCTTCCACCCTCAATACATTCCATGACTGAGGTGAAACCCTTGAGCAAGGCCCCAGCTGCTCCCCGGGCGCTGCAGCAATATGGCTGCCTACTGCTCCGGGTGTGTGTTCATGGTGCGTGTCTGTTCACCACTGTGTGTGTGCACTTGGATGGGTTAAATGCAGAGCACAATTTCCAAGTATGGGTAACCATACTTGGCCACACATCACTTCACTTTCACTTCACTCATCATGTGGTCACTATTGCTTTGTCTCTTTTTACAGATCATTTGATATGTATTGAATTATTTATGCATTTTTTACCTAAATCACAGCAGTGTCCATCTATGAGGAATGCATGCTGTCAAACATACACAGCTATCCAATCAGTGGGCATTTACTTCCAAGTCTACAATCCGCCACACCTATTCAAACAAAGCATTCTGCTGAGGGTGTCAGGATCCTGCCCTGACAGTCTTGTCTGTCCTGTCTTTGTTTAATGTGTCTTGTGTTTAGTCAATAGTCTAGATACAGTCTTTGTGGTTTGGTTCTTTATTTAAATTTTTGAACCTTTTGATTTTGTTCTTTTATTTTCTTTCTAGTTTTCAGCAAGGTGGTCTTGTCTTTATTTTGTTTGTAGTTCTAGTCCTAGTCATTTATTCTTAGCTTTTTTCCCTTTTGTTTTTCTTTTTGTTTTCATAAGTCTCGGTTAATTATTTCTAGAATTTATTACTTTTTTTCCCTTTCAGTTTTGTTTTTGTTTATCCTCCCTAGTCATTGTTTTGCAATTTTTATTTATTATTTTTTTTTGATCGATATTTATCATTTGTCTCCCCTGTTGCCTTGTCTTTGTGTGTCTGTAGAGTTGGTTCCTGCCCTGCTTCCTGAGTCCTCCTGGGTCACTGAGTCTTCTGACCTGTCAGGCAGTTGTGCTTCAAGTGTTACCATCTCCTAGGCCTAGTCTGTGGTTCCTTGAGGAGCTACCTAGTCTCCTTTTGCCTCGGAGTCAGGTGCTTCCCCATCAACAACCTGCCTGTTCTGTTGTGTGCTCTGGCTTATTGTGTGGACTGTCTTCCTGCCTCATCCTCTTGTGTTCCCATTTTGTTAATAAACTGTTTCCCCTGTCCATTCTGCATTTGGGTCCTCCCTTGACAGAACGAACCAGCCACTCTAGGACCCAGCAGAATGAATATAAAGATTGTTCCACCTGCCACTGCAGAAGGGAGATTGGCGCTCCAACGGACACTGGCATCGCTTCGTCAGCAGGACCAGGAACCACGGTCCTTTGCCCAATTCTTTTGGACCATGGCTAAGGGCCTTGAATATGATGCAGCCCTGAAGGAGTCCTTCAACCTCACTCTGGATGACCCTTTACCGCGATGGGAGATGGAGCAACTGCATGTTTTGAATGTTGGGACTTCTCTAATTATGTGCATCACCGCAAGGACTGGCAGATCCTTAACCCTCCTGAGGATGTGAGCAGTGACCACCCTGCACTCCTTCCCTCTTCGAGTCAAGTCCACGATCATCTTCTGACTCCCACTGAGAAATGAAGAGACAAAAGAAAGAGGGCGGCTGGAGTTGCTGCATCTGCCATTGAGTCCTCAGTGCCGGCTCCAGCCTCTGAGAGCAGT